CACACACACACACACACACACACACACACACACACATCACAATCTGTTGTTTGTGTTTGGCTTCCTTCCATCAAGTCACCGACTCCCCTTCTCCACTCTGTTTTGCTCCTCCTTCCTTGGGCTACATCCTTCCCATCCCAAGATCTTCTGCTCTCTCTCCTCTCCGGTCTCTTTCTATCCCTCTGCTGCTCCACACTGAGTCTCCTTCCAAGTCTTTTTTAGCTCAACTTAAAATTTGCCTAATTCCGCTTTCTTTCCGTCCCCTTGTGCTAAGAATACGCTACTACTCGCGGTACCTACGCTATGCATAATGATTCTCTTATTGATATGGGGTTTAGTCCTGTTTTTTGCTTTTTTTCTGTGCCGAGGAGAGGTGAACGCTGCTCCGGGATTTCATGTGCCATATACGTGTTATAGCACGAACATAGCTTCTGCGTATTTAGGTCAAGCATCGAATTGACAAACCGTTTTTCGCGTGCATGTTTAGGCGAGTGGAATCTGCAGCATAAAGCAAAGGAATTAAATTTTGTTTTCCGATGCATGACTAGTCGACATTTGTCATCACTCCAGTCTCAGTGTAGATACATGGCTTGCTAACGTGTACTATCAGTACAACAGTGCTACGTGGACCGCGTGCAATGCATCCTATCTGAATTGTATACAGGTTCCATTGTAATTTGGTCGGATTTCGGGTTGGATACATGTCCTTTGTAATTTCGTCTGATTTCGGTGTGGAACCGTGGAACTATTTTTTTTTTTTTTTTTTTTAAGGCCCTTGTGCAATTATCTAAGACTTCTGATGATTGTTGAAATATCGCGCAGATGGGTTTTACTGGTGTTTGCACTGTTTGGTGAGAGGACTGTAAAAAAAAATCTGCGTAATATCCAAAGGACCAAAGGGTTGTGTTCTTTGTCCAAATTGACAAATTGACAAATTGACACAGTGGCTCCGTTTGTTGCTGTTAGTCCGAATTTCTCCGAAAAGGTGTCTCCTCCGAAGAGAAACTATATCATCCCAACTTCCCAAGTATCCTCACCTGTGGTAGTTTTGGTAATATAAATTATATAATATAATTTAGCCCTGTTATGAAAGTGGTATGACGTATAGCCCACCTGAAGATTGCTTCCCCGCGTGAGCTATAATGGCGCATGACGTGGTCGCGGAAGTTTTGTATCGTGATAAAACACACGCAATCAGTTTTATGTATGTTTTGTCTTTCTCTTGTTGTTTGTTATTTCTCCGGTTTCCAGTAAGTATGCTTTGTGCACCCAGCTGAGCACCTTTAAGCAGTGCCAAATAGTCGGCCATCATTACTTGTTTGGAGTGCCTGCAGCACTCTTAGAGGGCCCACTGAATGCGGGATGTCTGTCAGCCCTCAGGCTATAAGGGGTTGATGACGAATGTTTGTCGGAGTGGTGGGAACCAACAGTCTGCAGGGCTCACCCACGACGTGTGTAGGTGATGTGCCGCTTTGCTCCGTTTTGGATGCATTGACTTCCTCGTCTGCGCTCCAGCGGTGCCGTGCTGCTTGCTTCGCGTGTCATTCTTGGCAAGCTGCTGTGTTCAATGTGTGGTGTTGCTGCGGTGTCCACAAGGAGACCGCAGCCAACAGAGGGGCTGATAGCGGCGGGAGCTCATATCACCATCGCTATCAGTACCAGCTGCTGTTATGTAGAAAAAAAAGAAAAAAAAGGCGTGGCTGCAGTGTTGGTGTAACTTTGTGCTTTGCTGCTCTGCTGCCTTGCAGCTGCCCATTTATGTGCCTTGCCTTCCTCGTCCTTTGCCATCGAGTACAAATATATTCCGCAGATTGTCGAGGGTTAAGCCTCCTGATGAACAATGATCTTTCATCACCCTTTTTGTTTGAATTGTTCTTTCGTTTGTGGAACGTCAAATTCTTTTTGCCTGCTGTTCTTCTGTTTTGCTACTTTTTGGCTTTCAGAATCTGCGGTTTGTTGGCCCAACTGCCTCCCTCGTGCCCTGCAGCCTATGTCTTTTGCTTCACCGTCTTCCATGCCTTGCTGCTTTGTATTGTTTTGAAGCACCGGTACTCGCCACAGATCGGCCCGGGGGTGTCAGCACGAAACCCGGACCACCTCGGAGGCCGCCGATTTAGTTTTACAACGGCGCCCCACACCGTGCTGCCCCTCCGAGTTTTGCTTGTGGCGACAAAAACTTTCTGCAAGGCTGCTGCGGCCGTGTACTTGCGGTTTAAACAGGAGCTCAGGTGGAGTTCTCACAGGGTTCTAAACACTCACCACTGGAGCAGACTACTCTAGAATGGCACATCAGGCCAGTCAGTGTCTGGGTTCAACGAGAGCAGGTTAACCGAGCACCCATTTTTCAGATCCATTTATAAGAAAACCAGACGCCCATTTTAAAACCCTAATTTCAGAAATTTCATCCCTGAAAACCAGTTGCCCCGTTAACCCCTTGTGGGTTCAACTTGCATATAAGATGTTGAATGGAGGAGCCGCCGTTGCCTATGGTAAGCGGCCACCCCTACAGACCGGACAGGACCGGTTCCGGCGGTTCGGGTGTGGACTGTGGAAGCACCGCATCCAATTCACGCAGTCGCAGTTGCTGCACTGAATGGCACGGCGTAGTGTCGTAGACAGATGTCACAGGTAACATGGCTCCTACATGCTACTACCGTTGAGGACAGCGCGTCCCGCCGGCCTGTGACGCCGCGCCCACTCAGGCTACGCATGGCTGCGCCTCGCCGTCAATACCCTGCGTGCTCACCCTAACGATGACCTAGGGCCCCTCACGCGAGCACCCCACCGGGCGGGCGAAATTGCACTTGCGTGATTTGCAAAAAGCACGCCAAATACCCTTGTAAGGGTATTTGGTATGACAACGCCCATCGACTGACCCGCCTATATGTCCTCCAGACCCAGAGGCATGTCCTCGGTCTCAAGCAAAGCATCCTCGGTCCTCTGCCCTTCGTGAAGAGGCAGGTCGGGCACCAGACGCGGGTCGTCTGGTGCGGGGACCCCGGTCTCGTGCAACCCCTGCGCCTCTCTCGACATCCCAGCTGCCTCGCCTCCACCCGTCTCGCCTCCACCTGCCTCGCGTCCAGCTGCCTCCCCCAGCATCCCTGGTGAAGTCGCCTTGCATGCGGCTGCCTCCCCCTGTATCCCTGCTGAAGTCGCCTCGCCTGCAGCTGCCTCCCCCTGCATCCCTGCGAAAGCTGCCTCACGTCCAGCTACCTCCACCTGCGTCCCATCACGAACCTCTGTCACCAGATCAATGTGGGCAGCCGCCTGTTCATCAGGGGGCATCTCCATAAGCGTCCCCAACTGTCTCTGTCGCTCCGCCGCTGCTAGACGGGCCAACTCCTGCATCCTGGGGTCGGCTCGTGTCAGGAGGCAACCTTTGCGACTATCAAGCCTGTCCAGCCCCTCTGCAGATGTTTCTCCAGGGGATGTGAGGTCCTCATCTACCTCTGCCTCCGCTGGCTACACTCCTAACTCTCTGCGCATGGCAGGGGTGAAGGTCTCTGGCTGCATGACGCTGATCTCGTCTTACTGGCGACTCGAATATGGCCTGCACGCCGACACTCAAGTGACTCAAGTCCCCTCCACAATCGCTCTCTCCGGGGGGCGGTCCCATATCAGTAAACTGACTAAACCCTCTGCTATCACCCATCAATATCCTGTCATCACGACCTCTCCCAAGACCGTTTGTCTGAACCGCCTCCTGAACTAGACTACGTCCATCTCCTGCCAATGGAGCACTACGTCCACCAGTGGGTCTCTCCACATCTCTCTCGACCCTCTCACCCAGTGAAGGACCGCCCGACAATCTCTCGTCTAATCGCTGTCTCGGGCCCTTCACCAATCTATGTAGTCGCCCTTTGGGAGGCGAACCTCTGATATGCCCAGGAACGCCGCCACCCATCGCTGACTCTGGCCCCCTCGAACGCGCAGATCCGTGCACCACTTGCGTATCGATGGACTGGGGCCCCGGAGACGAAGGTCACTCTCGCTCAAAAGGGCTCCCGTCACCTCCACCAAAAAGGTCGCCCCGCCGCTACGTCTACAGACGTCCTCCAAGTCGCTCCACTCATCAGCCTCTTATGAGGCCGGATGGTCAGCAGGTCTTGCCCCCTTGTCGTCCCCCTCAGGGCCCTCGTCATCACTGTCGTCATCACTGGGGTAGGGGCGCAACGTGGCAACTCGAGTCCCAAGAACCTCTCCAACCTCTCCCCGAGGAGCTCTCGACCCACACGGGTCTCGCGTCCACGCACGTCTCTGCCTCTCCCGGTTCTCCTGTGTCCTGCCGGCGTCCGTCCCCTGCCAGGACGGCTGCGTCCCTATGCCTCCCTCCACATCCAACATCGACTCATCGATCGTCCATGGCAACGCAAAACCGCAGCCAGCCCGCTGGTGAGAGAGAAGGCGGACGTTGGCCGAGATCTCGACCAACTTCGCAACCTTCTCGAACTCAATCTTGTTGTGCTTCTTCGTGCGCACAGCCTCATGGACGGCCCTAGTTCCTCTCTGCGGGAGAGGAACATGTCCACATATACATGACACGAAGAGCGATGACCTGCAGCTGCGGGGCGCACTGTCCCCAATTCGACCACCAACAACCGGCCTTGTACTTCTCCACATCGCCGGTACACCTCTGTGTCTCCCTGTCTCCATCCCTCCCCCCCCACGCAATCGCCCTTCTCCATGTGTGGAAGTCGCGCAGTTGGGCACATCCAATCGGGGCTCGCTTCACTAAACCGAGTCTGTGTGAGGATGTACGTCTCAGCCTCCCGCACAAGTCTCACATCGTAATCGCCGCCGACGCCCTCGTAGTACCTCAAGTCTCGGCGACTGGGACACAGAAGGTGAGCAGCGGCGTGCACCGGCTCCAACATGTGAGCGCACCGAGCCTGCACTTTCTGCATAATGAAGTGCGCAACACGTGGTGGAAGTGCGCGGACCTCGCATGCTACATCACGGGTCACGTCCGRCGTCCACTGCACAACCAGCGACATGTGCAGCCCTCCCCGGCCCAACTTGCGAAGCATGTCATGCACGGGCTCCATAATGCGGACAAGGACTCCCATGGAATCCCACCAAGAACCATGCCGCACCCGCAACCTAGCCCACCGAGCCAGCTGAGCTACGGAACTGTCCCAAGGGACCAAACCCCAATCGTCGTCGTCCACCGTCCTCTCCACTACTGACCTCATTGCCAGCAGACACTCCATTATAGCGAACACGAATGCGAATCGTGTTTTGCAGGGATAAAAAGGTCACATGTGCGTGCTCTCCCCCCTGAAGATATGCAGAGCGGTGCTGTGCTCCTTGATGAAGTGCACCGCTCTCCCACGCATAATGATATCCTTTGACCACGGGCTTGACAAGCCAATGTCAGACAACATTTTGTTGCAGACATGCACTGCGCATGGCAGCCACGTGATTTGTTGAATCTCTGACCTCTGATGGGGCCCCTGGAGCATATTTGTCGCGGCGACGTACGCAGAGGCAGAGTCCGTGCGAATGGCGTTCATCCACCGAGGAGGGAAGTCATCGAACACCTTCAAGTTGCTCCAGCGCGCCAAAACATCAAGCGCCTGGTCTCACTCGCCCTCCCTGTTCATTGTCCTCACCATCATCACTCCGCACGACCCGCCGACAAGGAAGTTAACGATTGGTCTGGCATCCCGCGACTTCCTGCCATCCGACATGATGGTGGCCCCCGTCACATAGAAAGGAGACCTGACCTCTACGAGATCACCCGCTACATCATCCGCAGTGCGGGCAACCGTCTCCATGTCGGGGATCTCGTTGTGCGACGGCCACAAAACCTTTACTGGCCCCGACAAGTCCCTGAAGTGTTTGACCAATTCTTGCCATGACTCGCTCCGGAAGACGTTGAATGGCAAACGTTGACTGTAGACAAACCTCAGAAACTTCTTCTTGAACTCTATCTGCCATTGCGAAGAATACAACTCCGTGATGGTGTTTTGTCTCAGCCGCTTCTGCCCACCCGGCCTCGCCCCCTCCTCTCGCTCCTTTCTCTTCCCCACAGCAGTCGCCTCGTCTTCCGCGTCCCGATGCGCCTGAGTGCGAGCCGACATGTACGCATCTTGAAAGAAACGGCCTTGCTGGCCCCACGACTCGTGATTGACGCCCTTCCCTTGGTCCCTCGTCGATGGGCCAGGCCTCGCTGCCTCCGCACCCTCGTCCTCGACGTTGTCCACGTCAACCACCTATTATTCACCCCTCTCTTGTCCCGCCCCTCCCGCCCCTCCCTCGTCCCTGCCAGTGCGCGGATCCATCGCAGGTGAGGGACCGTGAAGCTCCTCGAACCGAAGCATCCGGTCAAGGATCTTGCCCTCTAGCTTGTAGTCCGGGTTGTAGCATATGTCCACCAGCGCCTCGTCGGTCACTAACGGCCACCCTTTCCCCTGCCTGAAATGGCGTGCCGCCACGTATTGGTTTCCCTGAAACTCATGACCACAAAACAGGCACTTCAACATGAGGTTACCGCGCAACTTCTCCCCGAGACCCTGACCCACGCGGATGTATTTGTAGACACAACTCTTTTTCTGTGCCTTGCGATTCTCGTCATCCCCGGCTTGCTCGAACACCCTCGCCTGCCATCGCGGCATCTTTGTCGTTTGTGGCTTCACCAATAGTCGCCCCGTACACCTCAATGGCCCACCGCTGTCCCCGACGAACCGCCCAGCAACGCCAAGCGGGCCCGGTCTCCTTGACAACGCACCAACGCCCCAGGGACCCCAGCAGCCAGCCCCTCCCCCCCCTTGCAACACTCACGAAGGTCGCCCCGCCCGCTCCCCCCGCCGCCCGCCGCTCAACCACGTTCAATTTTTGAGAGCGCGTTCGAACGGAATTGAACGTGCACGTTCCATGTACGAACGCGCGTTCAATTTTTAGTGACGCGCCAAGCTGTGTAACACCCCGTACGTCGTACGGGGCTCTGCTCGTACGGTCGTACGTACGGCCGTACGACCGTACGAACGGTCGTACGGCCGTATGAACGGCCCCGTACATAATGACGAACCCCCCCCCAAAAAAAACAAAAAAAACAAATAGAAAATATGGGGATGTAGAGCTTTTCGTGCTCTACACCCCCATATTTTTTATTTTATCTTTTGGTCTTTTTTATATTTAAAAAAAATAAAAATCATCACAACGGGGAAAAAAAAACAAAATAAAGACATAAAAATTGATTGATTGATTGATTGATTGATTGATTGATTGATTGATTAAATGAATGATTGAAGGGTCGGAGTTGGGGCAAGTGGGGGAAAGGTAGACGAGAGTAGATGGGGGGGAACAATCGGGATCGGAGGGGGG